CTGGCATGTGGTGCTGGGGATTGAACCGCGGTCCCTGATGCTTTGCCAAGCTTGTTCTAAGTAGGTGCCTTAGACCACTGAGCCATCTCTCCAGCACCTTCTTACAGACTTCTAAAAGCTTACTGGACACCTAATCTTGCAGAGTTAAGATTCTAAAATAAGACCCAGATATTGTGAACAAGAAAAAGTCTTTAAAACACCCCTATGTGTTATAAAACAGCATTATCTTCTGCATTGTGTTCCATACTGTATTCTACGTGGAAGTTTCCAAGTATAAGTCATGAACAATAAATATATATAAACTAAGATCATAACTTTTTAATGTGCAACTTTAAAAGGTTATTTATATATATGTTTTATGTTTAAGATTTTTGGTGTTTTTAAACTCTTAACTACAGCCTTAGCTAAACAAGACCCTGTCTCACAAAACAAAAAATCTTAAGATAAATAAATGAAATGTAAAAATGTCACAAGAATCTTTAACTACAAGCACACAGGGTTTTTCAAACCCTTGAATTAGAGATAACTTTTTTGTTTTTTCTTTTTAGTCTTCCATGAATCTATTATTTTAACTAGCTGGATAGAGTATCAGGCCTTCACATGAACAGGAGAAATTAGAAAATAAACCATGACATGGGAGCACAGATTAAACAGCAGCACAGTAGAAAATAAATGACTGGAACACAAAAACTTTTAAAAATACTCATTTTCTGTGGATCAGTGTAAGTATAACCTATCACTGTTAGGTTCAACCAGAAAAAACAATAGAGTTTCAAAGCAAGTTCCTGGGCTGGGGAGATAGCTTAGTAGAATAAGTGCTTGCCTGGCAAGTTCAAGGTCATGAGTTCAATCCCCAGTACAGCCAAAAAAAGAAAAAAAAAAAAAAGTAAGTTACTTTAATAAATACACTCAAAAAAAAAAAAAAAAAAACAAAGTAAGTTACATGATAAATAAGAAATAATGAACTAATACAAAATTTACAATAAAAAGGGAAATAAGCCATTTGTCATGAGTTCCTGAACTCATTTTACCAAATACTTTTTTCTTTTTCTCTTCTTCCTTTCTGTTTCTGAGACAGTACTTGACTATATAGTACTGTTGAGCTGGTGTTGAACTCATTAGGTAGCGCAGACTGCCCTTTATCCTTTCCTTTTTTTTTTTTTTTTTTTTGAGACAGGGTCTTGCTATGTAGTCTAGGCTGACCTTGACCTAGCTATGTAGCTCAGGCTGCCCTGGAACTCTCAGTAATCCTCCTCCTCAGTCTTCCATGTACTGGGATTACAGGCATATGCATTGCCACCATGCCCCACAGGCTGCCCTTGAATTTACAATGATCCTCCTGCCTCAATAAAGAGTGCCAGAATTATAAGCATGAACCACTAGGCCCAACTCAAATACTTTTTCAAGTCTCATCAAATTCACTTCCTACTGTGGCTACTTAATTCTTCACCATTATCAACACCCTCAAAAAAAAAAAAAAAAAAAAAAAGTCATAAATTGATCCTCTACAACATACTTGAATGTATTTTTAAACCAACTGGCAGGGGCCAAAGGGGGGAAAAAAAAAAAAAAAAAAGCAGCAGTGAAAAGAGGAAGCAGTTCCCCAAGTACAGGTGAATCAAAGTAACTTTCTTTCTGTAGCAGGGTTATTGTGATCAGTATAATCACATTACTGCATTTTGACATGAGCAGCAAAACTAAACCGCTTGAAATTACCATTTTCAGTAATTTAAAATGGCTATCAATTAACAATTTTTCACATGGTTCAACCTAATACAATAATCTTAGCAACATGTTTTACTGAAGTTTTCATGATGAGCTGTTTTGATCATTTCATTTCAAAGTGACAAAAACTGATCATGGTAATAATCCCAACTATTCAGTAGGCTGAGGGAGGAGGATCACAAATTCAAGCTCAGCCTAGACAACTTAGTGAGACACTGTCTCAAAATAAAAAAAATTAAAAAAACAATTTAGGCAGTGGATGTAGCTCAGTGACAGAGGGAGCACTTAGCTATCACACAAGGCTCTGAGTTCAGGTCTTAGTATAACAGAGGGGAAGAGACACAAAGTTTAAATTAATGGCTAAATTAGGATTTTAAAAGATTCCTATAAATTGGAAAGAGAAGATAAAATTAATAGTAATTTAGAAAGGATTTAAAATTCCCTACTGTGTTGAGAAAAATCAATACAATAAAACAGACAAATAGCTTTTAAAAAGTCCATATGAGAAGCTAGGATGTAGCCCAGTGGCAAAGCACACGCTCGGCATGCCTGGAGCCCTGGGCTCAGTCCTCAGCACTTCACCCCCAAAAAGTTAGTGCAAATAAGACCTAGCTAAGTACAGCTTAACAGATACCCTCCTTACCAAAGTGAAATATTGTCCAAACACACCACAGGCTCTTTTGCCTTGATTTTATTTTGCCCACAAAATAAAATCTTTGAGCACTGAAGTACCCACTTGCAGGTGTCTTGATCAAAATCATCCAACCCTCTGGTCAATTTCAAATGTTACCATTTCCAAGATGTTATCAACTCCCTCTATTAACTGTAACTATACCCTTTCCTCTGAATTGAAAGTTCAGCTTGGGCTGGCAAGATAGCTCAGTGGACTAAGTGCCTGCTTTCACAAGCTCAGGGACCAGGGTTCAAGCCCCAGTCCCGCTCACCGTGCCCTGACCCTGGGGCACGCTGAGCCGGCCACTGAGTCCAGGCATGGAGGTGCATATCTGTAATCCCAGCACTGGGAAGGCTGAAAATAGGAGGATCGCTACAAGTCTGAGCTGCATAGTGAGACCCTGTACCAAACACATAAAAAATGAAAAAAAAAAAACAAACAAACCAAAAAAAAAAAAAAACCCAAAAAGTTCAACTTTCATTCAAAATGACAAATATATTGTTTTATATTTATTATTATTTAGATCTGTTAAGTGAGAAGTTCTGAAAAAAGGAAGACTTACAAGAAGAACCTATAATGCATGAAGATAGAAAAATATTTAAGAGGTTTTAAGTAAAATTCAGGAGAAATCACATAAGTTACACATCCCTTGTGAAGAGATGCCAAACAATCAAGGAGCTTACACAGACTGAATTGCTGTGGCTCTAGACAAGAAGAAGCTGGAATCTGGCTAACAGTGATTACAGGGAGTTAAGAGTCAGTATCTATCCAGGGAAAAGGGAATTTTTAAGGAGATTCTGTCCCAGAGAAAGACACAGAGTCATAAAAAGGAGAATCTATTTTTTAAAGTAAATGTGAACTTTTTATTTCTGCTGACAGGCTGTTTCTCCCACTGACTGGCCAAGTAAATAAAGTTAATAATCATTTGGCCACAGAGCCAGGTGGCCACCTCCCAAGAAAGATGGTTACTCTCAGAGATAAGGGAGCAAAACAGGCTGTCAAGCTCTGTAAAAGACGGTGATAGCAGACAGTTTCTACACCCCCCCCAAAAAAGAACTCATTCAAAATCATTACTTGAATAATATGATAGCATTTCTATCCCCAGAGGGGAAAGTATATGCGTGCATAAATTTCTATCAAATAAATTTAAGTTTCACCTTCTAAAATTCAAACAAGACAGGTTATAAGGCAAAAAGTGGAGGCAGTAAAAATATATATAATTGTTTAGGAAGACAAATCCTAAAACTGTGTGTCGAATACTTGAATAAATCAAATTTATATATGCTTTTAAGAAGTAATCTTTGTTGTTTGTTTTTGCAAAACTGGGGATTGAACTCAGGGCCTTGTGCTTGCCAGGGAAGCACTTATTCTACTGAGCCATCTCCCTGGCCCTTTATTTTTTCTTTTGTTTTTGCTTTTTTTGCAGTATCAGGGATTGAACTCAGGACCCTGCACTTGCCAGGCAGGCGCTTATTATACTGAGCTATCTCCCCAGCCCATGATCTTTGGATTTTACAAACCTGTGGATTATCCATATACCACACAAAACTATCTTCTCTGGTATCCAGTATGAAGTACCGTCGAAGAAATTTCCCACTGTTTTCATTTTCTTCAATATCTAGAAAACCACAGATGCGATTCTGACGATCCACATAAGGCATTTCTGGGCTTGAACATTACACTGTTAAAAAAAAAATTCATAGTAAGCTCCCAGGAAAAGAACTTCTTGATAGACGTAAAGATTCGACTTATGCTATGGTGCAGTCTGTTCAACAAGGATCCCACTTTCTAGTGTTAGGTGAGGCCAGCTAATATGAACCAACATCTGAAGCAAGAACAAAAATCAGTTTCAAAATTAAGTTTACTTACTGTGAACGCTTACTAAAAGTAACTGTTCACACTGATGGAGACAAAGAAGAGCCTTTTCCCTCACTTGAATAATTTACTTAGTTTACCCAAATGAGTCAAAAATTAGCTATGCAAATTTTAATTTTCTTGTCAGGATAATTATCTTTTAGACTGTCTTAGAATATTTTTAAATTTACAGCAGCACTTACTGTACCCCAGCCTCTGTACAGAGTTCTTTTCCATTCATTATCTAATTCAGTCATTAAAACATCTCTGTGAGCGGGAATCACTGTCCCCATTTCACAGATAAGGAATTTAACATTAAATAGGAAGTGACTTTCCCAGATTACAGAAGGAGTAGGAAAAGAATAAAAACTTGAACAGATTCCTGGAGTACAGGATGCCTATCTTAAGCCCTAAACCAACCTATCTCTTTAAAAGCCCTTCAGATTGTTAGAAATTAAAATAAATCTGAATAAATTTAGCTAACAAAACAAAAAGAGAGAAATGGGTACTATCGAGCTCACCGGAAAAGGAACACAAAAATCTTCTTACAAAAATCTGACCAAATAAAGTCAATTAAGACTCAGGACGTATGAGAACTTGTACTGTAACGTCATGTA